CCTCAAAATTATTTGGAATTCGTTCATACTGTAAACTTCCTGTGGCTGTAAATCTTAAACTTCTTGTTATTAGAAGAAGGAAATGTTGAAACAACTTTTTCATTCTGCTTTTTACTTCCATGCCTCATTTTTAAAGGGTATTTACAATGTGTTGTTAAAATGTGTGTGTTTGCACTTATACATCTTTGTGAGGATCAAAATTTTGACTGTTACTATACTTGTGGGGACCATCAGTCCCTTAAGGGCCCAAATTCTAGGCCTCATGAGTTTGAAGGCTGAAAATGTGGTTTTAGTGTGAGGGTTACAGTTAGGTTGTGGTATTTGTGATGGTTAGAGTTCAGCTAAGCAGCTAAGGAAAGCATTATGTCAATTAGATGAGCTAAGTAAGATATCATAGGCAAGTATTTGTATGTGTGGTGGTGGGCGGGGTCATGCTTACGTCACGGTGAGATTACTTCCATCGACCCACGTCCACGTCTTTGGGCTCTCTGCTCTCAAACCGATCCAGTAGCCGTGCTTATCATCAGCGTGATAGTCCTTAGTGTGGTTGCTGATAAATTCCTAAATTTGTAATACATGTGTTATCTACCACATAATAATAGTCGGGCTTTAGTTTTCCTTTGAGATAAAAAGAACGACGACTCGTCTATAACAGCAAAAATAAAAACAAACAGGTTTAAAAAAATAACAACGTTTCCCTTTTTTGGACACTATGGTTCCATTTTAAATGGATAAAACTGGCTTTTGTTCCCTCAAGAAATCAACACTCAGGACCCATTTTGACAGTTTACACAATTATCCAGACTGTTGGCTGTAGTTACAGCTGCTGGGCTCAGACTCTGTGGGCTTGTTAGACCAGATTGCTCAGATGATCTCTCCAAACTGCAAACTCTGATCTGACGCTTAGAGTTTGGAGCTCTTCAAAATGAATTTACGTTTGTCCAATCAGATTAAAGAATACTTTTCTCTTCTCTTTTAAACTCACAGCCTGTGTCTTTTACTTCGACTATCTTTCGTCTGATGTATGAAGAGTCGTTCTCGCTCTCTTTTTAAACACTCTGGGGACTCTGTAGGAATGATCGCTGGTTTCTTTTCCACAGCTCTGACCAAAGATCATGTCATTTACTGAATTTGGAAGTGAAGGCCACGAAGACTATTTTAAAGAGAGCAGCGAGCTTGCAGTTCCTTTTTTCATGAATATTTCTCTTTTCTTTTTAAGTACAAGTTGAGGCCTGCTTGAATCAAAACATAACTCAAGTATAAAGCAAACCCCAGTGCACTTCAGAGAACAAGAATCTGAATAGTTTTAAAATAAAATAAAAAATTTTTACAGTATTTTTAAGTGTTGATTGAGGAAGAAATACGTTTTCTTAAAGTCCAGTCAAATGGCAAAAAGGTGGGAAAAGACTGAACTGAAGGAAGGTAACTTGGCTCTTTAAATTATAGTTGCAGTAACTTCCTCTTCAAGCCTTCCTGTCTAAATCGCTTGAACTTTGACACTGTTTTTCCTCTCTGCTCTTTCACTTTATTTAAACTTTAAAAAAATATATACCAATGAAATCTGGCTCACCTGTTCTTCCTGACTTTCGATCACTACCAGAGCCGCCTGATGCCTTTTGCATTGATCACGACTTTCATCCCAGCTCCTCCAATAAGCCGAATATTGATGTTGGGAAAAAAAGTAACAGCTTGACCGAAACAGCACCCAGCCATCCAGGCAAGGTTTACACACTGTTCACAAAAAGAAAGGGACAACAAGACCAGAATCGTTTTAGAAATCCAACTTTACGATACGTCACAAAGAGTTTTGAAGATTTTTAAACAGTTTAAAACATTAAACCTTCAAATAAAAACATGTTTGCCTTGGACTAAACTTCAGCCCGAAGCCCTGGAATAATGCACTTAAACCTATGTCTCACTATGTTATACTTGTTTTATATTTTTCTGGAGCACTATCTGTTAACCCTTGTGTTTTGTTTTGTTTTGGGGTTTTTTTGTTTTTTTTGTTTTTTTGTGGGGGGGTTATTTTGGGGTTTTTTTTCGTTTTGTTTTGTTTT